CAATCTGATTTCTATATTGACCGTCTGGTGATGTCCATGTGTAGAGTCGTCTCTTGGGTTGTTGGAAAAGAGTGTTTGTTATGACCATCGTATTCTCTTGACAAAATTCTATTAGCCTGTGCCCTGCTTCATTTTGTACTCCAAGGCCAAACTTGCCTGTTATTCCGGTTATCTTTTGGCTTCCTACCTTAGCATTCCAATCCCCCATGATGATAAGGACATCATTTTTTGGTGTTAATTCTATAAGGTGCTGTAGGGCTTCATAGAACTGGTCAATTTCATCCTCTTCAGCACCAGTGGTTGGGGCATAGATTTGGACTACTGTGATATTGAATGGTTTGCCTTGGATTCGAATTGAGATCATTCTGTCATTTTGGGGATTGTATCCCAGTATTGCTTTTCCTATTCTTTTATTGACTATGAAGGCTACTCCATTTCTTCTGAGGGATTCTTGCCCACAGTAGTATACCTGATGGTCATCTGAGTTAAATTCACCCATTCCTGTCCATTTTAGTTCGCTGATTCCTAAGATGTCGATGTTCAGTCTTGTCATCTCTTTTTTGACTACGTCTAGCTTGCCTTGATTCATGGATCTTACATTCCAGGTTCCTATGGAGAAAAAATCTTTACAGCATCGGACTTTCCTTTCACCACCAGATATATCCACAGCTGAGCGTCCTTTCGGCTTTGGCCCAGTCGCTTCATTCTTTCTGGCGCTACTAGTACTAGCCCTCTGCTCTTCCCCAGTAGCATATTGGACACCTTCCGACCTGAGGGGCTCATCTTCCAGCGTCATATCTTTTTGCCTTTTAGTACTGTCCATGGGGTTTTCATGGCAAAGATACTGGAGTGGTTTGCCATTTCCTTCTCCAGTGGATCACATTTTGTCAGAACTCTCTGCTATAACCTGTCCGTCTTGGGTGGCCCTGCACGGCATAGCTTGTAGCTTCATTGAGTTACGCAAGCCCCTTCGCCACGTCAAGGCAGTAATCCATAAAGGGATATATTATAGAGTATATTATAATGTGTTTAATGATTGAGGGTTTTTTTTATTATTATTATTATTTTTAAGAGAAGATAACTTGTTTAATTAAATGCACTTAGATTTGTTTAGGATTTATATGTTTTTTAAGGTTTTTTTTGATAGGAGAGAAGATTATGGAGATTGAATGAAAATTTTAGATAAGAAGTTGAAGTTTAAGTATTTAGTTTAAGTATTCAAAAGAGTATTTAGTCTTAATGGTATAATGAATGTTTATATATTTATTTTTGTGTTTTAGGATAAAGAAAGAGGGAGAGATTAGATTTTATATTGTAGGTATAGATATTTAAAGAAAGTAATGTTTAAATTTGTGTTTTGGAGGGAGTTTATAAAGAATGATGGATAATAATATAAGTATGATATTAGAAAAAGTTTAGAGTATATTATAACGTGTTTAATGATTGTAATTATTATTTTTTAGAGAAGATAACCTGTTTAATTTAATGTATTTAGATTTGCTTAGGATTTATATGTGTTTTAAGTTTTTTTTGAAAAATTTTAATTAAGCCTGTACTCAGCTCTGGGAAGGTTGGGGGAGGGTTTGGGAGGTTTGGGGAGGTGGGGGAGGGTATGGGAGGGTGGGGGGGTCTGGGGAAGGGATTTGTTTTGTAAAATTTAAAAACTTTCAATAAAAAAAAAAAAGTTTACTTCCTCTTTCTTTCCCGGGCTTTTTACCCACACACACACCCACTCTAAGCTATGTATTAACCCAGTAAATACCAGACAGTTTTGCATATTGTCAAAGCAAGAATATACAGTATTTGCAGCATTGACACTCACATTCTAATCACGTTTTGAAACTGTTCATTAGCTACCTTTAAGCTATTAGACAGTTTGAAGTTTGAAAACATCAGGTAAGTCTGCTTTCAATCTTGGGTTAAAAAAAAATAACCATAAGCTTAAGAATTGAAAAAATTGAAGTAAACAGCAAAACTGTGAATAAGATTTTGATTGTAGAAAGTTATAAATCAGACATGTCAAACACAAGGCCCAGAGACCGGATGCGGCCCGCGAAGTGGTTTCATGTGGCCTGCGAAGCCATCCTGGAAACAGTGAGGGAATGGCCCCCACTGCCTTGGCCCTGGCCCAGGCTGGCTGGGAGCCAATGTACAATTTTGTGGTAGCCATCTATGCTGAAACGCATTCAGTCTTAGCGCCATAAGGCCATCTGGAAATAGTGAGGAAATAGCCCCTGCCGCGTTGGCCCCGCCCCTTGGGTGCATGCTGGGTAAGTGTCACCCTTTGTGAGGAATGAAGAAATGCACCATCGCCTGGAAGTGGCCAGCAAATGGCCCTCATCTACTTCATATATCTGGCTTGATGGGCTCTGGGGGAGGGGTTTCAGCAGGCAGCGGGGTGCTCTCCTCAAAGCGCCAAGAGCTGAGCCAGGTGGGGTGAAACTGATGAGGAGTACAATGCTGCCTAGCCCCCAGTCTGCCCAGTTTCAGCAGGCAGCAAGATGCAAAGCTAGTGAGCTTCACACCGCCTGGCTCAATTTCTCAGCACTATGAGGAGAGCGCCCCGCTGCCTGCCAAAACCGGGCAGGCCGGGGGCTGGGTGGCATCTCACTTCTTTTTGGATTTGCACTACCCGGTTCAGCCTCTCGGCGCTGTGAAGAAAGTACCCCGCTGCCTGCTGAAACTGGGCAGGCTGGGGGCTGGGCGGCATTGTGCAGGTAATGTTGACTCTCATGCTGCTCATGGCATCCCCTTCCCCAGAGCCCACCAAGCCAGATATGTGAGGGCCATGTGCTGGCCACTTCCAGGCTATGATGCATTTCTTCATTCCTCACGAAGGGTGACATCTCCCCAGCTGTGTTTCTTGCCTGTTTTTCTGCCTCCCTCATCTCAAATATTTTCTTATCACTCTGTACTTAGGAAGAAGGAAAGAAGGAGAGGGAGGGTCTGAGGGAAGTCCTGCCTTAGTCCTGCCCTGCTGCCTTTTCACCATCCCTTTGCCCCCTCCTCCTGGCCTATCCTAGGGGTCTCCCATCCTATTGCTAAGGAAGCTTGGATACAAAGCCGGGTCTCCTCCCATGGAGAGGGAATGGGCCTCCCTCTGACTTTGCCCTCGTACCCATCATGAGCAACCAGGCTAAGGAGAGCAAGGACAGCAGCAGCAGCCTTGAGGAGGTAAATGCAGCTGGGCACCCCCTTGGGGAAGTGGGGCTGGGCTTGGTGCTGCGGGTGCTCAAGGGCTAGGCTGGGCATTTGACCTCTGCTGCCCAGGGCTCCGGGCAGCCCGCACCACCATCCAGCCCCTCCGCATGGTTTGAGAGGAACGGTGAAGCTCCACCAGTGGACCATGCATTGGCACTTGCCCTGGTCCCACCCCCTTCTGCCAGAGACCCTCAGATCTGTCCCACTCCTGCCCAGGCCCCCATAGGCACCCTTGATGCGAACCATGTAGAGCTGTCCATGCCCACCCAATAGGCCACACCCACTCTGTCTATGCCCACCCAGTAGGCCGCACCCACCCTGGCCAACACACCCACCCCCCTGAGAGCAACCGCAATGCTGATGTGGCCCTCAGTGAAATTGAGTTTGACACCCCTGTTATAAATGGACCAACTGTACAAAGAAAATTGGAAAATTGAAAGTTTTATAATAAGAGTTGGTAATTAATTATAAAATACAAAGTGCTTCTCATGGGAAACACTTCCTATTTTGGTTTTTACTAGATATGACACAGACAAGCAGTTTTATGATTTTAAAAACTGGACATTATTGGGACAAAAGATTTTAGGTAGAGGAAAGATATACAGACCTGTAAGATAATGCAAAATGCTATGACATAAATAGCATTGGAGACTTTTGAAGAATGGAATTAGAAAATAGTAGTCACAATATCAACAATGGCAATAATAATGTCTGCTTCTATGGATAGATGACCAAAATATGCTATTGAAGAAACAATGAATGTAAAAACCAATTTTATCAGTCACGATAGAGATGGCAGTGATGCATGGATTTACAGTGGATTTACAACTGTCAGGCCAAATGAAAAGCTTAGAAAAAGATGCTGCACTGGATCCAGAAAAGAAACAGGCCAAGATTTTAAATTTTAAAAGGGAAATACAAATGGCAAACCAAGAGAATGACCGGGTTAATATTTTTCCTTTTGGCTTTCCAAAAAAGGCTTGAAGAACTTTGTGTGATGGGACAAAGAAGAAATGAAATCAAATCCAATGACAATATTTGTATAAAATAAAGATTAATACTGCTAGAAGGAAAAGAAAATACCATAAAGTTGGTGTATTTGATCAAGGTTAAGCAAGATATATTTTTCCTCCAACAACCCTTCATGGATTTTCTGCTGACATCAAGACTGAAAAGATGTTTTATATATTTGTTTATAGATAAAAGATGGGACATGGGATCAAGAGATAAATGCTGGTAACTTTAGAAAAAGTGAGAAGTTACTAGAGCTGCGGTGGCACAGTGGTTAGAATGAAGTATTGCAGGCTAACTCTGCCCATAGTCTGAAGTTTAATCCTGACCAGCTCAAGGTTGAGTCAGCCTTCCATCCTTCCTAGGTCAGTAAAATGAAGACCGAGATTGTTGGGGGCAATATGCTGATTCTGTAAAGTGCTGTAAAGCACTAAGAAGCGGTATATAAGTCTAAGTGCTATTGCTACTACATTTATTTATATATTTTTCTTTCTTATATTTTCTTTCTTGCATGTTTTACTCCTATTTTAAGTTTAATTTGCATTAGATTTTGCAATTATAATCAAAATTCTTAATGACACTGGAGAGAGAAAGAGAGTGAGAGAAAGAGAGACCTTTGATAACTGTATCCCAAAGCATGCAGATTTAACCCTCATCAGTTTGATATCTCCTGCAGATATGTAATCCTTCCTATTTTCTCTCAACTCCTTTTCACTGTTAATGCCTTGCACAAACCCTGCCTTCTCCATTCCTTGCAAAACAATAGCATCCTGCCCTAGAATACTTACAGTATCCTCTGTGCCATGAAGTACTCTATCCAGGAGGAGCTGATTGAGAAAATTGGTCCTCTCCTCTTCATCTGGTGATTCATCCCGTTTTCCCCACATTTCAGTGCCTTTCTTGTGCTTTCCCAGAGCTAAAGTGCCTGCATTAAATTTCAACATTGTGACCAGGCTTCTATAAAACTTGACTCTTGAAAAGATACAGCCTATGGCACAATTGCTCACTGCATTAATTGTGAGGCAGGCAGAATTCTGGACATACAAAGCAGTGTGTTGTCAAAGTTTGGTTTTTAGTGCCTTAGAAGCAGTACCAGGCATGCTCAATTGGCTCTCAGACTGTATTGTCTTTTGGCATTAGCTTAGCTAGATGGGGCAGCTGTTGCTCTGGCAACATTTGATACATAATTCAAACATCCAGCTCTAGTTTTACCAGTTCAAAACAGGTAAGGCGAGAGCTATATTTTTATTTACTTCGCACATTTCTGAACCGCCCATCTGTCTCAGAGAGGGACTCTGGGCAGTGTACAATAAAATGTTAAAATATAAAACAGTGTGTATAAAAGTTAAAAATGTCAAGAGGAGGCAAGGGATTAAAATTAGTTAAAAGGCTAAGGGAGGGCTTTCAGGGGAGATATTCAGAGTTGCAATGTGGACTGTTGGCATAAAGCCAACCAAGTTTAGGCTTCTGGTGAGAGCTAGTTTTGCAGGCAGGGAGATTTTATTTACTATATGCCAAGAGTTAAATCCAATATACTCAGGGTGACATTGAGTAGCTGTAAATCATTTTGATGTTGGTTACTCTGAAATCATGACTCCTCAATGAAGTCATATAACATATCTTTTTGCCTTTTTTTCCTTCCTGGTGAGACCTTTCCCTCTTCACAAAGCCCAAGGGGGAAAAAAAAACTCTCCTGCATGCATCCAAAGAGTGAATTGACCTTTTCTCCATTTTTGTTCAGTCACTTAAAATATTTTTATTAAGGTTTTGGATGAAGAGATGAAGGGAATGAATAGTATTAAACCTGCAGATGATACAAAACCGATGGGATAGCTCATATTTTAGAAAACTATCCAAAGGTTACAGAGCTTAGAACAATGGCATCTAAGTAACAATGTAATTGAACAGTGATCAATGGAAATTCTTCATTTAAGACCCCAATAGTAAACATATAGGCTAGAAATACTGTTTGGGAATAGAATCCTTAAAAAAGATATTGGAGTGGTAGTGCAAGCTAAATATGAGTAAGCAATGAAATGGGGCTGCAGGAGAAAACACAAAAAAAGACAAAATGCCATTTTAGGCTGCACTGTGGTTAACAGTTTCAAAAATCACAGGAAACAAGGGTTCCATTCATTCTAAATAGATTTGGAACAATTTTATCCAGCAATTCTGAGTTAGCTAACTCCTCTTGGGGCTGTAGCACCACACATCTCAAAGGCAATAAAGTGGAAAAGACATCTCCGGTCACGGCTAAGAGGAGGCAAAAAAAGTTATTCTAATAAAACAAAGATGTCCTTTTCCCAGTTTCACTTGTTTGGAACCAGGTTACTTTAAAAGGATGAGCGTTATTAATGCTAAATAAATATGGATGACTCCTGCCTGCTCTTGAGGCATGCTTCAAATGTTCCCCATCCAGCATCTGTTCTGTTGAATCGAGTTGTAGCCCTTGTGAAACTCGTCTCAGTTCCCTTTGCCAATGTGAATGGATCCCTACTCGGGGCTTCTCTCTGCATGAATTTATTTTTAACAAGGGGCTCTGATAATCCACCCAAATTTAACAAGGAGCTCCCAGTAGCCTCCTCCAGAATAGTCCTAGGGAGGCTGATACAGAAGGTAAAGCATTTGGACAGGACCAAGGTCCTTAAGCTGCCCTTCCAATTTGGGCTATGCTTTTCACAAGATACTTTTTTTGTGTTTGCACATTGCCATTTAGTTTATCCAATGTTCTCCAATTACAAAGAATGTTTGGTGTTATTGGATGAAATGCTTCTCCAAGTGCTCTGAATGGGCCCATTTTAGAGATGCCTTGTGCAAAATGATTCTCTGGATAAAGAAAGTTTGGACCTTCAAGAGAACTTTCTTTTTTTCCCTCTGTATTAAGGTGAAGCAAGAAATGTGGCAAACAGCAACTGAGTAGGATTAAATTGGTCTGCATTTTTAAAAAAATAATCCAGTCTGGCTTTGCTTTTAAATACCATGCCTGAATTCTTCCCTGCATCCGATAAAGAGCCAGTGGCGTTTGTAGCTAACTATGTTAAAAGCTTTCTCTATGCAAAGAATAGCCCAAGCCCCTTGCCATGCCCAAGTGAACAGAAATTAGTAACTAAAGCTCAGAAGCTGAAATCTACCATCAGAGACCAAGGCCTCATTGTATGCCTCTGAAATGATGTCTCCCACTTGCCCTGACACAAACCTTTCCATCTTTTCTCAGCCTCTCCAGCTGAAGCTCATACACAGAGCTCCTGTCTTCAAAGGTGAAGTCATCACTCTCGTAAAAAAAGCTGCTCTCTGCCTGGGAGGACGCCATGGCTTGCTGTGCTCCTGTTGTAGTTGCTAGGCAATGGCTTAACAAAAAAAAAAAAAAAGACCCCAAGGAGCTGGAGATTGCTTGTCCCATCCCCCATACCAACAAAGCACAGCCAGAAGGGGCCAGCTATGTGGGAATGGCCTTAGCACAATTCACCAGCTTGCACAGGTAAGTTAATGAGTTCAAATTCATTCCTCCCTCTCCCTGTGCCTGGGAAACAAGAGGTGACAGTCTTTTCACAAAGCCTAGATTAATAGCAGTCCTCCAAGAAGAGACGAGACAAGCCTGCAAAGGAATGCAAATCGCATCTAAATCACTCTTTCCCAGACTGGTGTCTTTCAGATTTCAAATTTTCTAAATTTCATGCTGGCATTATCCCTGGCTGTGCTGGATGGGATGAATGGAATTGAGGCTCAGCATCTATAGAGGGCACCAGATTGAATAAAGGTGCTCTAATTCAGGTGCCCAAATTTTCCAGCCAGCATGACCACTGTGAAGAATAGTGGAAGCTGAAGTCCTTCCACCTAGAGAAACTGCTGTAAATGAACGTTTAGATTATCATTTCTTCTAAGGCTGAGTGTGCAATAAGTACTCTTGAGGAATGACTTTACCTTAAGACTTTGGGTTCTCTAGGCCAGGGTTTCCCACCCAAACTTGGCAACATTAAAGCATGTGGACTTCAACTCCCAGAATTTCCCAGTCAGCCCTGCAGAATTCAGTTTCAATTCTGGAAACGAAGTCCACACATCTTAAAGTTATCAAGATTGGGAATCTCTGTTCTAGGCTGTATTACTACCCTGGGTACAATGCCTCTTGAGTTTCAACATTGTCTTTCCTTTTGAGTTCCTATTCTCCATTCTCCCCCCCCCCCCAAGAAATAATTTCAAAAGAATTGTTGGTTTGTGAAGCTGTATTTATTCCCGTATATGTTTTAATGGATTCTTTTATGAAGAGATCTGTAATATAAAATGCCAATCAAGAGCTTCTTTCCTTGAGCTAGTGGCATACCTTCATAAATTACATAATGAAATGACACAAATTAACCAAAATGCTTTCAGGAATAATCAGAATCCTAATACAATGGCTGTTTTGTGGTTTTCTTGTGCTTCAATAGTTACTTAGGCTCCCTTCTGTTTTTTTTCTTTTAATCTATTTCCCACCCTTTGCACTCCACTATAATTGCACTCTTCTAAATCACAGATGATCTACACAATGCCAGATCCAAATAACTTTATCCTCATTCTCCTTAACAATACTATAGACGTTGCTATGTTCCATTACACATTTTCTTCTATGCCTTGAACTTCTATAATAGTCATCTGCTACTCTTTTTAGCAGCTAATCAGACTTTTTCTTCCTTTGCTTTCCGCCCTTCTCATGTTCTTCTTCTTATTGTCATCTTTCTAAATATGAATAAAGTGTGCTAAGTAAAACAGTTTGCTTTCTCACTCTTACATTAATCATCTCCGAATTTTCTATTCTACATCTTCAAGTATGTCTCTCAAATTTCCAGCTAGACTTTTGTTCCTGATGTTCATTATACTTAACTGATGTCAACAGTATGAGCCATTCTATAAATGACACATGGCTTTTGTTTGGACCCTCCTCTATCTCCTTAGCTTTTCATATTTAATCTATTAACAACAATGGGAAAACAGCACCATTTGTGTTTCCTGTGAAGAAAACTCTAGTAACATACAATTGGTCACAGAAGGTAGCAGGACTATCCAATCTTGGCTGTCATCAAAAAGCTAAGCTGGATCAGACGTGGCTGGCATTTGGATGGATGACTACCAGAAAATTTGAGGTAGGTAAGCTAGACTGCAAGAGGTTAGCTTTGATTACCACCAACAGGTAGAAGAAAATGAAGTGTTATCCAACATATTTTTCTGTGAATATTTTTAAACACTGGAGGAGACCAGGATGCTGCCCCAATGTTCTTTTTCAGTCAACACATACAACAAGAACAAATTTATCCCACATCTCCCAGAGAACAGACAACTCCTGAATTAGCTTACCCATTTGCTTCACTGATTCCCAAAACTATTAATGCTCACCCTTCATTTTAGGTATTTTTAATAACAAAGATCTGTAAAACCCAAAGTTTTGCAGAAAATATAAACACTGGGATGATTGCATAGAGCAATGTTTAGATTCTCCTCTATCCTTTCTACACCTTGGTACCAAAATAAATGCTGTTACAAAGCAGCGTATTCTTTCAAAAGTTGCCAGTTAAACTATAGAATAAATAATTTAACATCTTCCCCCACATTTTTCTTTCCCCCATTTCTAATATCTTGGTCTACAAGATCCCTGCTGCATCCCTACATCCGGGCTACATGTGTTCATCAGCACTACTTGGATTTAGTAACTTTTGTCTGAACAAACCATTAGAAAGCAATCAGTGTCCAAGCTTTCTAGCTATTGGCATATCTTCTTCAAAGGCCTGAGAATCTATAAGCACCAAAGGTTGACATGATTCTGCTGTTTCAGGTAGAGCTGCAAGGCAGTTCAGAAGCTGGATTCTGGTACTATTATCCTCCTGCCCAAGGATGCTGTATGATATCTTGCCCGCTGGAAGGTGCCACAGGAAATGCCCTCTAAAGTGAGTGGGGGCATGGAGGCTTGCAAGGACCCATTGTTTGTCTTGCAGAGAGAAGTTGATCTGCTCAGTAACCAGTCATTCCTACCCTTGCTGTTGCAGGAGCTCTGAGCCCGCTTAATGTCCACTTCAGAACGGGAGATCCGCCCATTGGACAGCCCCTTTGTGGAGCTGGGGTTCAGGGTGGTGTTTGTCCTGCTGCCAGGGAAAATATTTAGTGTTCCGTTGGAGAAGGACGGTTGAGAAGAGGCTATAGAAGACGGCATAACAGCGTGTCTGGGAGACTCACTGTGTCTCTTGGGGTCTTTTCGCAAAAAACCAACTCTGAAGAGGGTCAATTTCCCCTCTGATTGTTTCTCAATCTCTGGCTCTTTCTCCCCAAGCCAGGGCCTGGTCTTTTGTTCTGCATCTCCTTGGCTGGAAGAGGCCACATTTGAACCCATGCACAGAGTCCCATTGATGTTAACTTTGGTCTTAAGTTCCTCATCTTTTACTGGAGGTACTGTGCTGAGAGATAGCACCAGTTTTTTGGGTGTCCGTGGTTGCTCACCTGTTTCTTCCTTTGGCTTCCCTACCCGTTTCAGAGTGTTTAAATTTTCCATGGCAACAGCTGCTTTGCCAGTGGTCTTAGTTGGACTCATGCTTGTTAGAGCAGGATTGGGCTTAGCTTTGGCGACCGTAAGCTCATCGTCTTCCCCTTCCTTAGTTATGAGAGGGACAATGGACTCATTTGTGAACCAAGGTCTGCGGCCAGACTCCAGATAATCTACGAGTTCCCTGGAGGGCTCTGCTGACCAATCTTTGGAGGTGAAGGACCAGCGCAAGGGTAGGGTCCTGGGGATGCCCAGCTTGGCCTTATTAGAAGAAGCTTTCAGGCTGACACTTCTGCCCTGCACACCCCGAACCAAGGGACGAGACTCAAATCCTCCTAGAAAAGAACATAGACAGTAATGGCAGCATTTCTCAGGAGTTCTGTGGAAATAAAATATACTGTTTCGAATGCAGAGTTCAAAGTAATTTTAACAAAGCATTAACAGCAATTCTGGCAAGACAATCTATTTATGAACTTAAGGAAGCATTATAAGCCTCCACATCTTCTACAATTCAGATTTTAGTCCAAGTCAAATAATCCTCTCCTCCTTCTCAAATCCCTTTCTTCCATTTTTAGTCGTCTTTTTTTTTAAACTACTCACATGCTATTTTCCTAGCCTATAATGTAGTGGCAAAGCAGACATATCCCATCTGCTTGCTGCTAATGCCAAAGCTAAAGTATAAAAAAAAAACCCCAAAAAGATGAGACGGACTGATGGAAAGATTTAAAATTTGCTGATTTGGGGATCAGTTATTTATTTTCATCCACAGTGACTCCAGAAGGCAGTGGAGACAGAGCTTCCCCATCACTCAAAAGCGTATTAGAGTGGACTAATGGGTAAACCTGAACATTATTATTTATTTTAAATCCATTATAGCTGACTACTCCCATAGACCCAAAGTTTTATATGTCTGAGAATTATTTATGGATGTAATGGGGCTAATGAACGGTGCACTAAAAGAAAACCTACAGTCTGGTTTCTGTAACTAGAACTGTGTATTGCTTTCTGGGGCAGGATGAGACCCACACTGCTAGACTTCAGGAAAAGAAGCAGGCCCAAGATTTGGAATCTTGAAAGAGAAGAAGATTGTCCAATGATAGAGGAGCTTGGTTCGCGTGTGGCTTTGTGGAAAGCAAGAATAATAAGGGAGACAGGATACCTTTCTCCTGGCTGGTGCTGGCACTGATGAGGGTAGGTGAGTTAGCTGATTTTGGCAGAGATGGACAGGTTGTTGAGTTCCAGGACACCAAGCTCTCTCGTTTGCTGCTTCGACTGAGCCTTGCCAGCCAATGTTCTGAAATGGAAGAGCTGGTAGATCCTGCAAGAAAAAAATATGAAAAAGTTGTGGAGAAAGACTCTTCTGCATTGTGTGCATTTAGAAAGTATCTACTTACAGTACATCTCCTGTAATTTCTGAAAGAGAATCATTTAATATCCTTCTATCCTCCACTCCATGAACAAACATATTGCTAAGGGGAGTGAGAACCTTTCTGCTTCAAGTACAAGACATCCTTCTGATTTTCCTTCAACAACATTTTATTATAAACCACTACAGTCATATATGTAAGATGGGCAGCTCCATCAATCAAATCAAATGATTCCAGAAGAAATAAAAAAGCTTCCCTTGTTCACCCAAATCTTCTTGGAGAAGAGTTGGAAGTTTATATATGTCAAACAAACCAAAAATAGTTGGAAACCATGCCTTTGGCTCAAATACAGGCCAGGTTTGTATCAGGATGGATTTCAGGATTCATGCTTTAGGAGACAAGTCAAGAATTATTTAGCATTTCCAGGTATGCCTCAGTATCATCAATAAATTTAATCAATGCATAGGAAAGGGGGGAGGGGGCTGTTGAGTAGGCTAAGTAACCCTTGCCAACCTCTAACAGAGCTTCCTCCAGACCAGCTTGGAACTACATTCCGTCTCTGATAGAAGAGGATGTAGGCACCACGTGTGCTGATGTCCTCTTCCATGATCGGTTCCACGGTACTGTCATCATAGCTATACCAGCGACCATCCAAGGTGTTGTAACAATAGGCTGGAGACAGAGGA